GTGTGATAAGCTGCACTGGTTCTAGTTCGTGTGGTGATGGGAAGTTTCTCTGGAAAGGCCGTTTATGTTAAGGTAGGAAAGGGGAGTAAATCTTAAGAAGCCACGTTTTGGTAGATAGGGTGCTGGCGGCTTATGAAAAGGACCAGCATCCTGAGCACGTGAATGAGATTTCTGAGGGGCTGCAGAGAGGGCTCCCTTAAGCCTGGGAGCGATGTGAGGACGGGCAAGACCAGAGCGGTGCTTTGTTGTTGTGGACCTGGGTGCTGGGAGGCAGAACCGGCTCCACACAGCTGCACAGACCCCGGCGACTTTGTCTGGGGAGATGGCAGCAAGGGATCCAGGACCGTGACCGGGTACCCTACTTAAACATACAGTTGGCCTATGGCTTTTATTACGTTCATGGTTGGGAAACCATCACTGCAGTTCACCTTGACAATAGAAACCTCCTACCAGCCATTCCCCACCGTCCAGCCCCACTCCCAGCCCTCGGACACCACCCTTCCACTGCCTCCATGGAGTTGCTGATTCTGGACGCCCTACGTAAATGGAATCGCACAAGATGGTCCTTGGTGACCGGCTCCTTTTATTTCTCAGCACATTTCCCCCGCGTTATCCAGTTTGTGGAATATATCAGCACATCGTGTCTTATTATTGCCAAATAATATTCCATTGTGTGGCTGTGCCACATTTTGTCGGTCCATTCATCAGTTGACGGGCATTTGGGCTCTTTCCAGCTTTCGACTATTGTGAATAATGCTGCTGCGGACGTTTGTGTACAGGCCTTTGTGTGAGCACATGTTTTTCACTGGGGTATACGAATTGTGGGGTCGGATGGAGGCTCCGGGTCTGCGTTGTTGAGCAACTGCCAAACTGTTTCCCAAACCAGGTACATCATTTTCTCGTTCCACCGGAGTGTGGGGCTCCAGTTTCTCCACATCCTCTCCAGCACTTGTTGTGGTCTGCCGTTGTGTTTGTATTGTTTGGTTTGGCTTCACATTAGCCATCCTCGTGGTGTGAAGTCAGTAGTGCGTCATGCTGGCTTTGATTGTCATCTCCCTAAGAGCAAATCACGCTGAAGAACTTTTCGTGCACATGTTGGCCATTTATGGCTCTTTTAGAGCAACGGTTCTGCACCTTCCTCAGGCAGCGACCCTTGAATACAGCTCCTCACGTGGTGGTGACCCCCCACCATAACATGATTTTCGTGGCTACTTCATCACTGTCATTTTGCTACTGTAAATAGTTCAAGGTCTGTTTGTTGACCTTTAGGAGTGTTTTTCAGTCAAGTTTGATGGGGTGCCATGCTCCGGCCCTACAGTCTATTTTTGGTATTATCTGGGGACTTTGTTACTCTGTTCCCCTTGCTGTTCTGTTGCACACCCTTAGTGTTTTGCCTCAGTGTGGTGGGGTCAGATCGAGTGCAATTCCCATACTGTGTCTCCAGTGTTGTCCCCAGTAGCGCTATGGGTCAGCGAGGGACATCGTGTCTCGTAGTGGGGCAGGCCCTATGGTCCTCTCTGTGCTTTGGCTGCTCTGAGCGGGAATATCGTCCTCAGGGCTTGGTGGGCCAGGATGTGTTCCATTCTCTTTTCCTCTCCTTCATTTGCTCCTGTGTGCTCTGATCAGACATGCCCCTCTCCCTGAGCTGTAGCTTCAGTGCTGTCCTCTGAAGTGATTCTTCTGCGAGGGGATGTTAGCTTTTGTCACGTGCTTTTGGTCTGCGCCTTAATTTTAGTGACCGGGTGTACCACACTTACGGAGTTTCTTAAACCATCTCCTCATTCCTTCCATCGGCCTCCCTTTGCTGTGATGCGTGGATAGCTGTTTCTAGATGTTGCTGGATTTGATTGGGTAGCATTCTGTGGAGGAGTCTTGTGTTGATATGTGACCCGCGTGCAGGGTCTTGGTCCAGAGTCGCCTTATGATGTCTTTGCCGCCTGGGGTGGGTATCAGTCTATGAGAGCTGATGTAAGGGAAGTGCTAGAGTGTGGTCTGCATCCTTCCATCTTCCAAGAGGTAAACAGAGAGAGAAGCAGAAGAGGGACATGACTACCACCAAGAAAGAAGAACCTCAGAGAATAAGTTCTGTCCTTTTGAAAACCCTGTAAGGATTGCTATTAATCCGTCATTGATTCTTCTGGAACTGTTTAGTAGAATTGAGCAGCGAAGTAATCTGGGCCCAGACTTTTCTTTGTGGGAAGTGCTTTAAATTACTAGTTGAATCTTTTTGCTTGCTGCACTGTTTTTTTCTTGTAAAGGCATGTGAACTGCACGCAGACACACTTCTGTAGAAGAAGAAATCTGGGAAAGTGGGTTGTCTTGGTTACCTAGTGCTGCTGTCACAGACACACCACACGCGGGTGGCTTAACAAACAGAAATGCATTCTGTCACAGTTTAGGAGGCTGGAAGTTTGAACTCAGAGCATTGGCCCCAGAGGAAAGCCCCGCCTCCTTTCAGCACCGGTGCGCCCAGTGTTCCTCAGAGAGCTCTGGGTGTCTTGGCATCACTTTTGCCCCGGGTCTAGGACGTTCCCAGCACAGGGGCCCCAGATCCAAATGACATGCTCCACTCCTGGCGATTGTCATCGCTCTCCACTACGTCTTATAAGGTAAAAGATGATGCAGGCCACACACCCCAGGGGAAACACACACACACACACACACACACACACACACCCCACATATCAGAATCAGGGGTGTCATCTGCGTAAAGGTGTTGTATCGCACCCTCATCGGATTGACTGACCACATCCGATCACACCCTGGGAGAGATGACTTCACTACATACATAACTGCCAAGATACAATGGTGGCTTAACTGACAAGCTGCTGAGAATCATGGCCCAGCCAAGCTGACATGGATTTGGGGTGGGGGGTGGAGGGCAACAACTCAATCCATGACATGGGCCCAGCAAGAGCTGGGCAGTCGGGGAGATTCTGGTTGCCTCTGCCGGGAGCTTGCCCTCTCCTTCCGTGTGCCACCGAGGAAGCAGGTAGCCCTGCTGCTTCTGTCCTGGCAGAAGCCATCGGAGGCGGAGGACCAAACCCTGAACCTGTCTCTTGGGTGGACAGGACTCTCACCTGTGAGGGAGTTGGCACTTGAGTCAAGGCAAGGGAGAGCAATGCTGGCTCTTTCTCTTTATTCCTCCTGCCATCAGGTCAATGCCACGCTTCTAGCAACCCTGTGGGACGGGGGAGGACCAAAGAGGGGAGGGACCTCGGCTTGTGAGTGGCAACCCACAGTGAATGATCATACAACCATTTTTCACAAACGAGACCGCTCTCAGGGTGCTGATAATGCAACCACCTCCAGGGCCCCCACTCAGAAAGCCGTGAAACAGTGTGCCGCCATGTGTGTGCCGGAACTAAAGCCACTGCCATCCGGTCGGCCCTCAGCAACCCTCTGTGGGCTTTGCATCTTTTTTTTTGTATTGTTTTGGTTTTGTTTTAAACAGTTTTATTGGCCTTTAATCCACATATCACACAATTCAATAGTTCAATCATACAAAGAAGAGTTATACAATCATTACCATAATCAATTTTAGAAAATTTTCTCCCCCTGCCCCCCTCACTAAGGAGAGACTGTAACTTTTTATGGGAGTATACAGCCTCATCTTTCTCTGGAAGAGGTGGTTGGTGGTTTCAAACTACTGACCTTGTGGTTAGCCGTCCAATGTATAGCAAGCGCCCTACACTTCCAGGGCTCCCTATACAAGGCTTCCAAGGTTATAAATCTTTTTTTTTTTATCGTTTTATTAGGGGCTCATATGACTCATCACAATCCATGCATACATCAATTGTGTAAATCACATTTGTACATTCATTGCCCTCATCATTCTCAAAACATTTGCGCTCCACTTAAGTCCCCGGCATCAGGTCCTCATTTTTTCGGCTTTGAATCTTTACGGGACCAGGCGGCCCCTCTCTCCACTGAGGAGCAGCTGGTGGGTTTGAACCGCTGACCTTGCAGTTAGCAGCCCACAACCTAACCCATGGTGACACCAGGGATTCTGCCATTTGTGTCAGGGGCAGGGAAGGGAAAGGAACCTGTAGATACGATAGGCTTTCAGGTGCAGAGAACCTTTGGAAGAATACCCAAGAGTCAGCGGTGATGGGACATGTAATACGACTTGACTTTTCACCCTGTGATCATATGAGAGCCCTGGTGGTGCCGCCGCGGGTTAAGCACTGCCCTACTAACTAAGGTCTTCTCTTCGAGCCCTCCAGTCACTGCATGACAGTCTGCTCCCAAAAAGATTCTAGTCGCAGAATCCCTTCGAGGCAGTCCCTCTCTGCCCCACAGTCGCTCCGAGTCAGAATCAACTCTCAGGCAGTGGGTTTTGCAACGCTACTACCTGGAGCAGGGTTTTGTGGTGGCGGCTTGGGCTGTGTGCAGAGCTGAGCTGTGGCTGGCCGTAGAGGCGCGTGTTCCTCAGACACCTGGCCTGGTGCCTGTGCCCCCGTGGGGACAGCCGTCCCTCTGAGCTGTCTGCTTCCAAGGACTGTCCAGACCATCAAAGTCTCCGGGGTCTCCCAGAAGTCCCCCGGTCTGTGTGGGGAACTGGGGATGGCTTTGGAAGGGTGGGTGTTCCCTTCCAAACACTCTTGCGGCAGCCCTGAAACCCTGGTCTGCCCTCTCAAGGTGAAGGGCCTTCACTGGCCCCCAGCCTGTGGCCTTCAGACCAGCAGCCCCACAGCAAAGGACAAGCCTCTCGGGGTCTTTGGATTTCCCAGGCCAGGAGAGCGTCCACACTAGCAGCCTCTCCTGTTTGCACTGGAAACTAACCGAAGTGGCAAGCAGGAAGACATTTGGTTTTTCAGAAGCAACCACAAACTCCTTGCTCGCAGCAGAGTGAAGGGCCGCCCTCCCCCCTCCCCACCTCACCCCCTCCGTGTCCCCCTTCCCCAGGGCTGCCCCCGGGAAGACTGGGATGAGGGCTGGCTCCTCAGAGCCCAGGTCGGATTCCAGCATCAGGACCCTCTTTCCTGCCTCTCCCACAGAGAATACCTTCTGCAGCGGGGACCACGTGTCTTGGCACAGCCCCTTGGATAACAGCGAGTCAAGAATCCAGCACATGCTGCTGACGGAAGACCCGCAGATGCAGCCCGTGCAGACGCCCTTCGGGATTGTCACCTTTCTCCAGGTGAGATGAGTGTGCGCGGGCTGCTGATGGAAGCCTTTCCTGTGTGGGGGACATTCTGGCCGAACAGGAAGCCTTGGGGAGGAGGGGGCGTAGAGCAGGCAGTTTCCTCTGGTCTCCTCTTACATTCAGTCCCCCACCCCCACCCCACCCCAGTGGCTTGTGAGGTAGGCCCAGGTGGTCTGATTTAACGTCCTGCAGTGGTAGAAAGGAGCGGGACCCTTGGAGCGGCAGAGGATGGCAGTAGCTGAGCGGGAGGAGGTCACGGGGACAGACTATATGTGGAGAATTAGTAAGGACCCCTCAACTCCCAGCCTCCCAGCAGGAAGCCAGCTAGAGGCAGTAGACGGGTACTTGCTTCTGATCCTGAAGGCATCTGGATGCAGGGATTTGGGGGGTCCGGGAAGATTGACAAAGGTCCAGCTCCCTATAAGGAAGGGGGAGCTCTACAAGCTGTGGAGACCCTCTTCCCTGGCTCCCAGGTGGTGTCTACTCCCATGGTCCTAGACGAGACTACCAGAGGCATGGCCTAGGCGCCCAGCCTGTTTCCCAGCTCCTGGTTTTTCTCCTGGGCCAGCCAAACCCCTATCACCCACAGCGGGGCAAAGTCAGTCTGCAGTGCCCCGCCAGTGCCCCCCGCCCCCAATCTCCTAGCCAGGCAGCTGCTGCTTCCTGAGAGAGCCTTCTGGTTTGGACACATGGGCACACTCGCCCCTCAGGACAGATCCGGAGAGAACTTGGGTGGCCAACCTGCTGGGAGGGCGGGAGAGGTTGCCATTAACAAAGAAAGCATCTTGTCCCCCGGAACCTCAGATTGTTGGCGTCTGCACCGAGGAGCTCCACGCGGCCCAGCAGTGGAATGGACAAGGCATCCTGGAGCTGCTGCGGACGGTACCTGTGTGAGTACCCCTGCCCCTTGGCCTGATGTGTACCAAGCCCCCCCCCCCAATCCTTGTTGTGATAGGCACTCGTTTTTCACATCAGGGCTTCCCGGTCCCTGACCACTTGCTATGACCCCCTGGGTTTCTGGACCCGGGGCAGCAAACCAGGCCAACTGCAGGCTCAGCCCCAACGGTCACCATCTATTATTGCCTTTCCTTGTCCACAGCGCTGGCGGCCCCTGGCTGATAACTGACATGCGGAGGGGAGAGACCATATTTGAGATCGATCCACACCTGCAAGTATGTCTTGAGTGAGGAGAACCCTTCTAGCACCTTGCCCTAGGCCTCTTCCACGTAGCACTGGTCCTCACCCCGGGAAGCGAAGGAGCCTGGTCTGTGAGGGTGCAGAGGGGGAGCGTGACTTGGAAACTGCCCCCTGAATCCTGCCAAGCTCTCCAGCCAGGAAAGCTTGTCTGAGACACCTTAATTTTTACAGGGAAGGGATTGAATATTATGGTATCAGGGGGGCTTCCCAAAGTTCCTGGGAAAAGGGAATGAAAAGACAGATAATGGAAACATTTCCACCAACTTTTTGAAACCCCTCCGTGTGTCATTTACGGAGCCCTGGTGGCGGGGTGGGTTACACATTGGGCTGCCAACCACAAAGTCAATAGTTCAAACCCACCACCCACCCGATCGATAAAAAAATGAGGCTCTCTGTTCATGGAAATGCTTCGGGGCCATGCTCCCCTGCCCAGCAGGGTGGCTTTGAGTCGAGATTGACCGGATGGTGGTGCGTTTGAGTCCGTGGGTACACGATACACCAGTAAACCAGGCTTTTACAAAATTAGCTCATCGGCAACTGATGGGTCATGGCCACTAGCTGCCAAGTCCCCACTTCCAAGCCTCTCTTCTTAACAGAGCCCAGGTTTTCTTCTAGGGAGCACCCCCCTGTCCTGGACTAAGGATGGTGATCCCACCACCCAGTGCCAAGAGTGAGCACCAGCCAGTCTAATGACTACATCCCTCCTGTAGACACACGCCCATCCCAGACCGTCAGACCTTGTATAGGGGGCGGGTCTCTCTGCACACGGGTCTGCAGTCACCCACACACTGTAGCTCCAGGGTCTTTGGGGGTCTTTTTTAGCACCACTTTTGCCTGCAGGTAACTTTCATAGACCACACCTGGCTGAACCAGGCATCTGGTTGGCCTTCTCCTAGCCCCTCACTCCCCCCAGGACATTGCTGGCTCTGAACTTTTCGTACGACTTTGAAAAATCTGGCGTGGCGTGTCCTCGAGCAGGGGATAGGGGGCAGGCAGACTCGCAGCCAGCAGTGCCCAGCCTCTTTCCCGCGCCCCTGTCAGCTGGGGCCGGAGTGATCATTCACAGACGCTGTTCCTCCTTTGCCCTGGTGCCGTCCGCACTGACCTTTGCCGAGTGCTGCCGGGAGCCTCTGCTCTCCCGAGTGTAAACTCGGCTTCCTTGTCCCTTCTGCTTATGCAAGAACCCGGGGCCCACAAAGGCGGTGTGACCCTAAGCCCTTGTTCTGCAGCCACTCTGGGACCCAGCATGGGGTACTGGGAGCTGGTGCTCAGCCCCTGTCCTGAGTGCCAACTCCTGAGAAAGAACCTGGTCTTTTGAAGTAGACGGGTGAGCAAACCATCCTTTCTCTGCATGCCAAGAGTAGCTCTCGCCTCCCTAGGCTGCACTACCCAGAGTGCCTAGGGATCTGGCAAGCAAGCAGAGGGGCTCCGGGGAGGAAGCGCAGCTAGCTTTCCTGGCTCTGTGCACCAGTGTCCGCTCCTCAGCGCCCACTCAGGCCTCCCTGGGTTTGCCTGCCAGCCGCTTGTTTTAGAGCTGGCTCGTGCGCCTTCGGTCCAGGCTCTGCCATTAACAAGCTGTGTGCCTGAAACCATCGCCTCCCTTCTCTGGGTCTTGGCCTTGACTCTTTACTTAGGAAATAAGCAGGCAGGGCTCCTTGAACCAAGCAGTGTCCTCAGCTCTTTCCTTAGGCAATAGGCCTCAAGGCAGCTAGCGGAGAGGGAAGCTTGCAGGCTGAACCATGAGCCAAACCAGGGCTCACTTGCTCTCCACGCGGAGCCTGAGAGCTACCTCCTTGCCTCCAGCCTCTCCTCGTCTCCAAGCTGGCAGTACCCCCAGAAAGGAGGAGTTTGGGATTTATGGGAAGGGGACAGGTAAGGTGGATGTCTGCTGATGAGTCTCCAGGAGTAGGGTCAGGCTGTATTGTGCTTCCCCAGTTAGGCTCTCTGGCCAACTGGCAGGCCCATTTGGTGCCTGTAGAGCAGTGAAGAGAGGGCCAGGCAAGCAGAGAATGTCTGCCTTTAGCAAGGTGCTCACTCCCCAGAAGATGATTGCCCCATGGCTGTGTACAGCAAGGTAGCTATTGCCTCTCCCATGAACTTTAGTCCAGGGCCCAGCAGCACAGAGACTCTCTTTTGTCAGAAAAGCTCAGGCAGGTTTTGAGTACAGCTCTTCCTTGAGGCCCTTTAAAGAGTTCTGGTTGGCCTCTGCAGTATCAGGGCCTGCACGGAGGGAGAGCCTCTGGCGGGGGTCTGTGGATGGGCACTGCTCTCTAGGCCCACACCACAGTCTAAGAAACAGGAAAGGCCATCCAGAGCCCTGTGCCCAACCAGCAAGCCAGGGCAGGACGGGCAAGCCAGCCCTCCTGCTTGTTCTCCGGTGGTGCTCCACTGTGTGGCCATGCCCTCTACTGTTGAAAAAGGGAACTGCCAGTGTGGTGTGGAGGCCTGCTGCTATACAAGACGAGGCAGGCGTCTTTCCCAAAGGATCAGGGAGGATCAGGGAGCTGGGTTTTTGTTTTTGCCGTTGAGCTCTCCTTGCCAGCCCAGGGTGGTCCTAGGCTGGGCTCCATGAGTCCTGTGAAGGCGACTGGGGGTGAGGAAGGGTGCGCCCATGCAAGGGGAAGCAGCTTCCCTGAAGTTCCTCTTCCCCAGCCTCTCCCAATGGAGTCTAGAGGGCGTTGTGCCCAGGAACCAGAGCTCTTCCACACCTGTCCCTGGTTGGCACCAATGATGTTTCGATGAGTCCTGGAAGGGGGCGGTGGCCGAGGGGGGCAGCGTGGTCTTGGGCCCCCGGTGAGCTGAAAGAGCTCTGGCCCTTTGATTCTTTCCAAGCAGGAGAGAGTGGACAAAGGCATTGAGGCGGACGGCTCCAACCTGAGCGGGGTCAGCGCCAAGTGTGCCTGGGACGACCTGAGCCGGCCGCCTGAGGACGACGAGGACAGCCGCAGCATCTGCATCGGCACACAGCCACGGCGGCTCTCGGGCAAAGGTGGGCGCCATCGGCCAGCCTGCCGTGCTCACGTCCCTGGGGCCTGGTGTGCACGTTCTCTCGTGCGTGCGGGTCTCTCACAGAAACAGCCCCGGCAAGAGCCCATTTCCTGGTCTGAGTTACAGCCAGCAAGTGAGATCATCTTCCAGCTGGGCGGGGTCGAGGCAGCCCAATTGGCTCGGCTTTAGTTGTGTTTCCTGCATATTTTTCACCGCAGTGACCGTTGTGTTTCAGGCTTGCCCCTCGCAATCTGAGGTCACAGAGGTGAGTGGAAGCCATAGAACAGTTACAGGAAAGGGCCATCGTCCATCCAAACCCAAGAGAACAAGCATCGGTCACCCACTCACCGAGTTGACACCGCATCCCCCTGTAGCCGGAACCCCCTGTCAGATCCAAGGACTACTGTGACCCTCAAAGGTCGGGGTGTAAGGCCAGCTGGCGCATGCCCCGCCACCCCGCACCACCGCCCGAGGTAGGGGATCCGGGCAGGGCACGCTGGCACCGCTGCGGTCACTGGGCCGTAGGGAAGGAGGCCGTGACTGTCCTGCAGGGTCTTGGCCACAGGAGCTGTTTGTTTTTGCAGCAGAAGGCAGCCCCAGCTCACACTAAAGGACAACCGACCACTGACATGCACGTGGGTTTACAGTCTTCTTCCGCTTTCTTTCTCCATGATCCCTTCTTCTCCGATGTTTCCCCCAAGATCAGATGTCTGCAGCCCTGGATGGAATACCCACACCTGTCATACGACTTGTAAAAGGGTTTCTCTTCCCGAAAAGGACAATTTAGACACGGGTGCCAACGTTTGACCGCTTCCTTTCGGTCTTTCGTGTGGGTCCCAGTGTGTGCCGAGGACTCTGGGAGGCGCAGAGAGGGAGGGTGTGTTCTTATTAGGAGCATCCCGTTGCTTTTAACAAGAGGACCGTCAGGAAGGCCTCCTGATCTCGTCCACAGCCGAAGCCGTGATTGGCTCTCTCTGAAACGCCAGGAAGGGAATCCGTGCCGCTGTCACAAGTTGGGGAAGTCGATAAACAGCTCCCGCACCCACTCAAAGCCCACCCTGGGCACAGCGGATGTTCATTAGCTGTTTTGGGTGTGATGTGCGATTTGCAGAGGCAAATCTTAGATTAAAAATCTCTACCTAGGGATCAGACTCGTAAGCTTCACCCCCATGCCCAATAAAGCTCCTTCCAACAACAACCTAACCTGCCCTGGGACCCCTCTCTCCCCCTGACCTCCAGTGCTCTGGGATAGGGCCAAGGTGAGGAGAAGAGCCCCGCACGCCATTGGGCCAGGCCCAAGGAGGGGTGACAGGGCCAGACAGCACAGGGTGCCCCAGAGCCCAGCCACTTGTGTAAGAGGCCCATGGCCATTCGCGGTAGAGCAGCTGCCACCCACAGCATGTTCGTTCCAGGGGACAGGACCCCTCGGGGATCTCGGACAGTGACAATAGTCCTGGCCAGTCAGTCACTCACTGGAGCTTCTTTAAGACGAGCCTGGGGCCTGCATGGCTGGAAGGGCAAGGACAACAGAGCTGAGCCCTGCTGTGAGGGGCACCCTCTGAAGTCCAGAGGCCACCCCTAATCCTGTACAAAAAGGGCGCTCTTCAGACCACAGTGGCGCACGGGAGAGCCCGGTGCCTGCCTTGCCTTGCCTCCTCCCGGCCTGCACTCATTCAGACTCAACGTCTGGACGCCTAGAGCAGGCTCCAGACCAGCCAGCCCGGGGGCCCTGCCGGGTTCAAGGGCAGGGTGGGGGCATCCTGGGAGCCTGACGGGCAGCGTGGCGGTATCGTTGCAGACACGGAGCAGATCCGGGAGACTCTGCGGAGAGGGCTGGAGATCAACAGCAAACCCATTCTTCCGCCAATCAACGCTCAGCGACAGAGCGGCCTCAGCCACGACCGGGCGCCGTAAGTCCCTCCTCCACGGACAGCAACACCAGGGCTCCGTGGAGGGGCTCATCACCCCCCAGACTGGGACAAGGAGCCACTTTTGTCCAGAAGGGCCTGGCCCTGTGGCTGGCACAAGAGAGAACAATGCCCACAGCCCTGGCCTGTTGGGCTGGGGTCTCAGAGGTTGTGGGGGGTGGAGGGGTGTGGACTGGGCAGGGCAGTCTGAGGGTCGCAGCATGGGGCTTCAGAGGAGCAGGACGGAAACGTCAGTGAGCATTTACGTGAGCGGTGTGAACAGACGAGAGGCCAGGTTGGGGCAACATCTGATTGGGGGCCTCCCAGCCTTGTGGGAGCCCATTGTGCTGAGCACAGTTCCCGTCCTTATCTCGGCCTCGGCCAGAGTGGCCTTCCTTCCTTCCTGGGGCCTGGTCTCCGGCTGATAGCCGCACTCCGGGGGCCTCCCTGTCTGGCCAGCCCCCTGCTGGAGGCCTGCTGCAGAGGCCCCTCTTCCTGCCGCCCTCCCTGGGGCCCAGGGACGGGATGCCCTTTGCAGGCCTCCGCAGCCTGCTGAGGGGCCCCAGCAACCCTTGGGAGACTCTGGTCAGCCCAGCCATCAGATCCACTTCCGGCTGACCTCCCCTCTGCTCCTGGGAAAAGCTGCTGGCAGGGGGTGGCCAGGATCTGGTAGCTCCGAGCAGGAGACCTGCCTGCCAGGAAGGAAATTGCCATGCCCTGGGCAAACTAGCAGGGAGGGCCAGCTCAGCCAGCAAGGTCAGGGTGAGCCATCCTCCTCCGAGAAATCTCCGTTACACACTTGCTATGCGGCAAGCCCAACCCAGTGGCATCTGGGGTGCAAGGCCCCTCCTTTTGGTGAGCATGGGCTGACCCAATACAGGTTAGCTGGCATGAGTCTGACCGTAAGTGCCATTGTTGGGGAACGGCAGTTTGCCTGGCCCCCAGGGGTGCATGAGAGAAGAGCCAGGGCGGCCATGCTTGGCAGTGGTTCGGGAGGGCTTCTTGGAGGGGGGAAGATCATGAACCCAGGAGAGTAGAACCTATCCCTGAATGTTAGCAAGCGGGGAAAGGAGCTGAAGGGGGTGGGACCCAGCTCTGCAGAGTGGGCCCCGGCTGCTGACAGCGGAGGTGACCTCCCTCCCGGGAGCAGACTGTGGAGCGGGAAGTGTTTGGCTGGAAAGGGGCCTGCCCAGGAAGGCCCACCGGTGAGTCTGCCTGCCGGAAGCCAAGAGAGTGGGGCTCTTTGGCAAGAGCCCAGAGAAGCCTCCAGCCCGCTCCTCAAGAGTGGCTTTCAGGTCTGGCCAGGGGCTTCTACAGTTGCCGTGTGGTGGCAGCAGAAGATGGCCAAGCTGAATCTCAGAGCATCTGTAGACGCTGCACTTGTGGCTCTATAGCCTGCCCTAGTGGCCACATTCCTCCTCCTGTACTGAGTTTGACTCCTCCCTCTGGGCCCATGTGCGCTGGCAGGAAGGAGTGGAGGTACGTGCAGGCTTGAAGGCTCATGCAGATTGCCCATCCTAATCCAGATGGCCAGCCAGGCTCACTAGGCAGCAGAAAAGGGCTCTTACAGAGGGCTCACTTCCTGGCTTGGGACCACTTCCATCCGCTTTGCCCCCCAGACACTGAGAGGCCACAGGACTCTGGGTTCCTCTACCACACACAGTCCCAGATGCCCCCACCCCCACCAGGGCAGAGGGGTGTCATATCTGGTCACAGGGCTCTCTGTAGGCGCACAGGCAGAGGCTGTCTCTCCTCCCTGCTGCTCAAACACCCAGTCAGGTCTCCAGAAAGCCAGGAGCTCTATCCCAGGAGGAGTCAGGACATCTCCTCCAAGATTCTCAGCGCCGGCTACAGATGCATCAGCAATTGATTGAGAAATGGGCCTTCTTCCTTTGCCAAGAACATCATCCGCCAGCCCCCGGGGCTCTCCAGCGCTGGCTGCTCAGGATCAATGATGATGGACTCGGTTCAGAATCGCAAGCACGGCTGTAATATCTGTGCTGCCCACTGTGGGACCTGACCTCCTTTCACATCAACCACATGCACCGTGGCTGAGAAGCTGGCCCAAATGTGCTGGCTCTGGTGTTCACGCCACTCCCTGTGGGGGACAAGCGTGGGCCCTACTTTGTGGATGCGTCTGCTTTTCCTGGAGTCAGGACTTCCGGGCTGGGCGGTTCTGATGCATGGGCCCTCTTGGGTCTGAATCCGGTGTGAGGAGGCTACAGAGGTAGCCAGAGGGTCAGCACAGCTGATCAAGACTGGACACTGGCAGCTGGGTTCTGGCCTGCTTGGGAGAGTCAGTCACTTGCTCTTTCCACACCTCTAATGCTCTCAAATAGTGCTTTCTACCTGTGTGAAAGTAATTCCTCCTCAGAGCCACGCTGTGGAGTGGATTGTCTTCTAGTTGAGGAAATAGGTGCAGTCACTTGCCTAGAGGTAGTTAAGGGTGGTGCTTAGGGGAAGTCTCTTAGTCCTTAAAACAGGTGTGATCACAGAGACCCGCCTGAAGGACACCACAACTGTGTCTCGTGTTCACGGTGACCCTCCTTGGCGGGTCTCATCCAACCAGGACCGGAGAAAGCCCTGCGTGAGAAGCCTACTGTGCTTATCTATCTCCAGGGAGGACACACACCCTGATTCCAAATCCCAGAAATAACCAGCTGTGTCATAACTGGCTCATTTGTACCAGAATTGCGTTTGGACACGAGGCCTCGGTATCTTCATGTTCAGAAACAAAAGTATCTTCGTGTTCAGAAACAGAAGCCACCCTATCTCTGGCCCCTCCACCACCAGGGGCCAGGGACTTCTCTTTCTTTCTTGAGGCCTTACTTCCTGCTTCCCAGAAAGGCAGGCCCCTCCGGGTAACCTGCTACTCTCCCACTCACGGTCTGCCAGCCCTCCTCCCCTGCCTTCCTGGAAGGAGAGGCCTTGGCCCTCTCCCGGGCATCTTCCCGAGTTTCACAACCCTTGCATTCCAGCTGTGAAATTTGTATCTGGCTTTTCCCAAGATGAGCAGTTGAGAAAAGCCTCCTTCGGCTTGCTGGCGCCTCCCTTCCCACTGCCGGCTCTGGTGAGAGTGGAACGCTTCTGGAGCCAGGCCTTCCTGCTACAGAGGACTGCCTCACTTAGAGACTGAAACTGCCTCCTCACTTAGAGACTACTTCATTTAGAGACTGCTTCACTTTGAGACCTGGGGCCCGGCAGAGAGGGGGGGGGAGAATAAAGTCAGCTGGCATCCTTCCTGTCTAAAGCCACCTAACTAGGACTGAACTGTTATATGGCATCTGGCCCTAGCTCCCAGCCCCTCCCCAGTGATGTGGGGACCATCCGTGATAAGGGGCACACATGAAGGTTTGTGCATTTCCATAGCGCAGTGGTTCTCAACCTTCCTCAGGCCACGACCTTTTAATACAGTTCCTCATGTTGTGGTGACCCCCCCAACCATAAAGTTATTTTCGTTGCTACTTCCTAACTGTAACTTAGCTGCTGTTATGAATTGGGCGACCCCTGTGAAAGGGCCGCGACCCTCAGGTTGAAAACCACTGCCCTAAAGGGTTTTGGTGTCCTGGTGGCCCAGCTAAGTAGTTCCAGAGAAAGATGGGGCAGTCCGCTGCCGTAAAGATGTGTTCTCGACCTGGAGACAAGGTGGGGGCGGTTCAGCTCTGTCCTAGAGGGTCGCAGTGAGTCAGGATCAACTTGATGACAACAGGTTTTTGTTGCATCTGAAGTGTTTCTCTGAGAGCCGACAGCCTTCGTATTTCAAGGCCTCCTTTCCCTCTGCCAGGGGCTCTTTGAGTTCACATTTGGAGGCAGAACAAAGGGAAATCGGGCGTGGGAAACTTCCTGTCATCACCCCATTCCCTGGTCCGCTTGCCCACAGCGATGGCACCATGGCCAAACAGCTCGCGGCTGGCATGTTGGGTTATCAGTCCAAGCACTGCCCCTCCCCCCCAGGTGGCACACGCAGGAGTATTTTTATCATCCCTCCTCGCTCTTCAGTGTCGCCAGCACTTCTGCAATGAGTCACTTCTCCAGGGACGGGAAAAGGACGGGTCCAAGGTGAGTGCCGGAGCGGGGACATGTCTCTGTCTCAGCAAAGGGACGGGGGGCTCTGGCTAGAGCTGACTCGTCAGAGGGCACGGCCTGTGCCCACTGACCTCTGGTGTCCAGAGGAGCTCATAAGAGTTGATGAGGGAACCACCTAACCAGAATGCACGCGTGACGTGCCCTGTCTCCTCCAACCATGCTCTGTCCCACTACCTTCCATCCTTGGGATGTTCACAATGGAAAGAATTGCATTTGACCAGTTGGGTTTTGATGTTCCCCCAATAACCTTTTGTGGCCTTTCTCTTCTGGAATCATCTCCATCAGGGAGTCTGTCAATCAGTATGACCAGGTGATATACAGCCTTAACCGATATCGGGGGAACTTGATGACTCCAGGTACCTAGACCCCAGCATGGTAGCACACTTAGAAGTAACTGTGGGCTGTGCAACAGTGTTACAGACAAAAGTAACCAGTAGGTAGGTCATTTCCGGGAGCTCCTTGTTTGTACTGGAGACAAAATGACACACTTTGAAAGACTTGGTTATTTGTGCATTGTTAATTGCCTCTAGTTACTAAAGTGAATTGATCATTTAAATCTGTCCCCTGGCTGGTACCCTAAGGAGGGGGCCAAAAAAATTTTTTTTTAATTTAAATAATCATTTTATTAGGGGCTCATACAACTCATCACAATCTGTACATACGTCATCTGTGTCCAGCACTTTAGTACATATGTCGACTTCATCATTCTTA